TAATTAATATGCACGGATTTTTACCAAAAATTAATCAAATCTGCGCATATGTTCAGAGCATCTATGTACCAAGTTTCATCAAAATCCAATGAGTGGTTCTTTAGATATCAGTGGAACAGTCATAGAACAGCGAAAAATTAGCTAATTATCATGCAAATTAGGTAATTAACGAGCATGGATTTTTACCAAAACCTAATCAAATCTGCGCATTGGCCCAGAGCATCTATGCACCAAGTTTCATCAAAAACCGATGTATGGTTCTTGAGATAGCAGTGGAACAGTCGGACACACATACATACACACATACACACATACACACACACACATACATACACACATACAGACACACTAACTGCAAAGACTCCCATTTTGTGCTTCGCACATGGGAGTCAAAAAACAACATAAAACCACAAATATAGTTATTGAATGTTTGCTAAAATAGAGAATTGTTTCATCTGGTAATGGTCAAAACTATTTTGGACAAAAGTACAGCTATATCACATCAGCAAAAGTTACTCTAGTTTGTCATTGAAACCACCAACAATAAACCAAAGGCATAGAATAACTACTCATATAACGATGACATAGTCCCTGTATGTTTTTATTGCAAGATTATACAAGTGTGTATGTATATTAGTATGTCCCATGATACATATTTACAAGAGATCGAATACCACCAATAATTACAAGGCGACGGCAAATCTTCTTAGTTTGCCTGTTTAGTCTACGCATACGCAGAAATGATGCATTTTGAACATGGAAGACACAGAGGTGAATCTCTACAACTAATGTATACTATCAAAATGACTAACCTTGGCATTATACACATTCTTTGCAATATCCACTGCTGCCAATCCCAGAGCACCAGCTGCAGCTGTGACTAACACTGTCTCGCTGAAATCAAATGATGTAATTGTAATTTAACTTGTGACAAACATTCAAAAGTATATTTTGATCTGAAATGGAAATTTATGTCTTCAAACAGTTACTATGACAATGGAAAGTGTTTTTATCAAAAATGTGGAATTTCTATCAAATTGACACGCACAGTATCAATTTAAACACACAATTAACTAAATATGGGATTGACATGTATTGAATTACAATATACCAGTAATCAAATCAAACGCATTGTGTATGAAAAGCTTTTAACTCTTATGTTTTAGTTAAGTTAACACTTACTGCAGACCCAGGATGGCCCATTTGAATTTTTCAGGGCCAATTGATCAGATAATCTTTTGTTTTAATTCATCAGTTAAACAATTAAAAATCATTTCCAAAATCTTTATTGGTGGCCTATGGTGTTACTGTAGAATTTTATTTTTGCTATTTGCACAGAAAGTGGTTTTTATCGAACATCTAATTTAATATTCATGAACATTAATGAGCTTGACAAGAACGTCATGGATGTAAATTTAAAACAATAACATGGATTACTACAAAAATAAAAATCTACAAAAGAGTATGGTAAAACAGAAGTTTGCAAAGATTTTTTTTCAGGGGTATGGCGTCTCTAAATCCCAAAATCATAATTTGCCTATTAGTGGCAACAATATTAACAGAAACAAGTCCTGCATCGCAATGTACATCATTCAAAGATATATTCGAAGTTGCTACGCAATGGTTATTTGCAGTTTTTACTAAATTACCAGACACAGAAAACAAATTTGAAGTTGCATTTGAATGTAAATCGAGCAGGCTTTTTTTCATGCAGATGAGATGGCAGACAAAAATACCACAAATCCTGACATCTGGAAATACCTCATAGTAGAGGGCCTTAGTAGTACATGCGATTGCTGACTATGGCGATACAATGCATATTGTGGCATCAAAACCAATGCAAGGTGGGTGACAAAAAATAATATTGATCAAGGTGACTAAGATATTGTTTAGCAGTGCAGCTTGAGTGCATGACTTTCCCGTGATGTTTAAAAACAACATCCCATTGCCGATTTTGATGTTTCTAGAATAATTTTTATTTTTGAGTAAATGGGCATTCTACATTTGTGTATTTTGGCAATGAAAAGTCAGGTACATGTGACTGGGGATTCTACATTTGTGCATTTTGGCACTGAAAGCTGATAGCAACAGTAGCAGTGAATGCCTATTGCATTGCAATGCTGTCAGCTGGCAATGTTACGGTCATATAGATCAAGTAGCAGCCTGTTCTGATATAGCCTTGCTGTTTGAGATGCATAATGAGAAAGGAATATCACATCAATCAATCTAGTAGTTTTCAAAATTACCAAAACAAAATGAAGAGGGATGAATCAAATCAATCTGACTGAGGTCCACCTAACCTGTAGAATATCAAAGCAATTGAGCAAGCTGTTTTCAAGAAGAAGTCAAAAATAGCCTAAGTATTATCACAAAATAAAAAAAAATCCGACTCAGGTCCACCTCATATAAAATATCGAAGCAACTGGGCTAGCCGTTTTTAAGAATAAAATTCAATCAAAGAAAGCTTAGAAAGAACTCCCATGTGCTGAGAGTATTGAAGACACATTAAAAATTAATTCAAAATTACTTGTACATGAGATATTGATAGAAAAGCTGAAAACTAATTATGTACATCAGGTAACTAATATGAACAGAACAGAACAAAAAAAATTACGAATTATTATGCTAATTAGAGAATTAATATGAACAAATTTTAACCCAAAATTAATCAGGCCTGTCTATTGTCCTAGAGCATTTATGTACCAAATTTTATTCAAATGTGATGATCAGTAATTGAGATATCAGTGTTAATTAATTATGTTAATTAGGAGATTAATAAGCATAAATATTTACCAAAAACTAATTGGGTTTCTGCATAGTTCTCTTTAAAAGTTTCATTAAAATCCAATTTGTGGTTCTTTATATATCAGTGGAACATTATGCAAATTAGTAATTAATATCCAATTAAAACTAATTAGTCTCTGCATAATCCTAGAGATCTATGTAGCAAGTCTCA